ACATACAGTTCGAGCGTAACGCAAGTTCCGTTGCATGTTCACAGATTTACCCCCCGAGTCGCGCCTAAAGAAGCTTTACTTCTAAAATATCTCTTAATGTAAAAAAATAGGACAAAATATAATTTACTGAAGACAATTGAGAATTGAGAATTGAGAAGAGACAATTGAGTTCCTTTCTAATAATCTGCAGAAAGAAAAGTCGCATAAAAACAATTAAAAGCAATTTCCAAAACAATTACATATTACGAAAATTTCCTCGTGAGCACATGATTGCAGCACATGTTTCATCGGTCAGTCCGCACAAGATTTACGTGGGACACTCACGCTTACGCAGAATATGTGTACACATTCTATATTTCTTCCGGACTTGAAATTTTCTTCTCGATAAAAATACCACGGAGCAAATATAACCCAAAGCTGTCTAATTATAGACGATTGAGAGTGTATACGTTCTTACGCCTAAATGACTTAACAAATGGCATAGTTGTGTACAAGGTAAATATACATTTACAACCAAACCGACATGAAAAGCAAACACATACACCAGTTCTGGCACATGAATTTGGGTACGTACTCTCGTATATTATTGTAATCTGCTTTGATAGGCTTGAAACATTAGACAAAAGTATCTCGAACAAGGCTGAAAGGAAATTTGAACAGGATAAATATTCACTTGAACGATTAAAATGATGAGGATTATCTAAATATCGTTTACACTACAAAATTGTTATTACACCAAACAATTTAGACGTTTTGTGTAGTTTTAATGGGAGAATAAACGATGTTGAACTTACTATTGCGGATGCAAATATTTATAGTAATCATTTAGAATATAGTATCGATTTAAACAATTATTATAGCAAATCCAAATATTTATGGTATTTTTTTTTACAGGCACAGAATATTTCAGAAAATATATTAAATTTCAGTATCATTTTACTAATATATGACAACGTGTGCAAATATTTATAGTAAACATAGAAGCAAGTGCAAGATTTCATAGTAGATGTTATTTCAAATTCCTATGTTACCATGTTAGTAAATTTTTATAGTCTATACAAAAATACTTATATGTAAATAATTTTAACAAGTGTAAGATTTTAAAGTAAATGCTACTTCAATATCACAGATTTGATAATAACATTTAAAAAGAATATCAAGACACTAACAGTGTATTTTAACAAAACCTAACATAACTAAAAAACTGAAAAAATTAGCGACTATTATTGAGTGTTTTTCATCAAACGTATGTGCAAGAAAAACCAAAACCTTATTGAAGAGCCTATTGCAATATTATAATAAATTATATTACATGTCCTAGATTGTTAAATCAGTACCATTATAATTGTTTTGAAATCAAAATAATTTTTCGACATTATTTTAAAATTAGATGCTTTATCAAGAAAAATAATAACATTATCTTTGCCGAGTATTTTTATATAAAACAATAATTCGTTCTACACTTTGCAGATTTTTTTTAAAATGATACTGTTTACGTGCAAGAAACATTTTACAATTTTTTTTCTGCATTTCTCAAGACGAAATTACAATCTGCTTTTTAATAATAAAAACACTTAGTATTATAGTGAATATGTATGAAGTAAAAACAAAAAGAAATTTCCTTACCCAGTGGTAAGGTCTATTTTGTTGATTTTGAGAATTATTTTATAAAATATTCCGGCACTTTAAAGAATCGTTACTTTTTTAATTAAAAAAACAAACATTATTTTATGACCGATTTCATTCATTATGAATCAACATGAAGTTCTTTTAGAAAGCAAGAGAACGACGGCCTAAGGCCGAGATAATATGTTGATAATTTTTTATACAATAGAATTACCTGAAGAGACATCTGTTTTGAGCAAATATGGGTTTTCATGCTTAAATGGTTCAAAGAAACTCAAATTGTAAGATGTACCAACTAACGCTTATGTATGAATACCGAAAATACCGATATTATTAAGGTAAATACCGGTATTGATAGCGCTAAAAATTTAGGCAGTACAACGGTTTTTCTGTATACTGGTATTGCATTCCCCAGTCACCAAAGCTGTAGATTACACTTAGAAGCTCCAAATTTTTAAACTACATGAAATGTTTGTTTTTGATTTTTTTATGGTTATAATAAGCATCACCTCGATTCGGCTTGACGTTGAGGTCTGGGACAATCTCATATATATATATATATATATATATATATATATATATATATATATACACATACATATATATATACATTTATATTATATATAATATAATTAATAAAAATATTTTTAAAAATAACGAAAGAAGAACTATCAGAATTAATTAAAGAGAAATGTGATAGCGGTCAGTAAAATATATCGTTATAATGTACTGCATATGTAAGTGGATATATATATATATATATATATATATATATATGTGTGTGTGTGTGTGTGTGTGTGTGTGTGCAAGTGACCTATGTTTGAGAGAGCGTGCACTACGAGTATAGTAAAATGGAACCTTATCAAAGTATTAAAACAAACACTTCACTTGATAGTACATAATGCGTGCTTATCACGTTCGAAACACAAATTTACAATTACGGGGATTTGGGTCTTTATGCGTAGGGTTCACTAAGGGTGACTACGAAGCACTATCTCCAGTCAGGTCCCCAAAGTGCGGTATCAACATGCAGCATTTCATCATTCAAGAGCACTATCGTAAACGAACCCATATGGCTCGCTCTTTCGAGTGATAAATGAGCGAATCGGCTAGTTCATGAAATCAGATTGATAAACACGGTGTTCGTTCTAAAAACTATGAAGTGATGTGTATTAGTGTAATGTATACTCATATTGCTCCACTAACCCATTAATCAATTTCGCAATACTGCAATGGTATTAAAAACGCGCGATATGAATTATTCGCGTCAACAAACTTTGACAACTTAACGCGCGTGCGGAAGGTACAATTAGGGCACGAACATAACGAATAAGCCAAAAACGCGATGAACTGAAAAAACAATTTTGGCACTGAAATATATAAATTTGTTGATCATAAGTTTTTTTTTTTAAATTAATAATTAGTGAACTTCCCGTACCTAAAATTAAAATTAAACAAATAAAATCTAAATTAAACCATTGAAAAAATTAGATTTGGAAATTTAATTTTTTTGCAAAAAATTGTTTTTGAATTGTTTTTTATGTATATTCTGATGTTTTAGGAATTTTGAACTGTTTTTCAAAGTAACCTCGCTGGGTTAGCTGCGTAGAGATAAAATATCGAAGCGCGTAAGCGTCTTGCATAGAAACGTAAACAAAATTTGTTTTTACAATCTCTATAAAATATCTGATAATTTTATGTTCATGTCTAATGATCACTTTTGACTTCCAAATGGATTTTTTTTTACTTTTTTATTGGATTTTCGAAACCGCTGCATCTGCTTTTTCAAAAATTTTATCAATTCTTCATTTTGTCAATACAAATAAAATTTTTTTTTTTTGAATAATTCAAATCGGACGCTCCGGTAACTCAAAAACTGAACTACCATTTTTGGCACTTTTTGTCGCGTATTTTCAAAACGGCTGGGTCTGTAAAGGCAATTTTTTTGCCAAAAACTAATCAGCACGTCTCCTCGTCAATACAAATCGAATGTGTTTTTTATTATTCAAATCGGTTGATCCCCGGTTCACGAAATTGACAAAAAACTGCATTCTCACACACACATACATCAATTTTTTCTAAAGTATGCCAAAATGTTCAGAAATTTTTTATATGTAAAGGTATGCAATAATAATTTTCGATTTTTTGCGATTACTACAAAATTTATTGCACGAGAAGTTGAAAATGTATAATATAAAAGTGTATATTTCAAACTTAATGACAAAAACAGTGTACTCATAAGTTTTTGGTAATATTTTTGTTCCCAGAACCATCTATATATGTATTGTATTTATAACCATGATTTGTAAGCTCACAATCATAATGAATACGTTAAACTTACTTCAATAAACTGATTGAATAATCAATATTTTCATGAAATGTGTATTGAAATGAATATACTTAAAGCTCGTAAAACAGAATTTTAAAGTACAGTGGAATCACGCTAAGCAATCATTATTCAATCGAAACAACAGAACAATATTTCGTTAATCGAAATAACAAATATTTACAACATAGGAGGAAGCTGATTAATTTTACCTCTCGTTATGGGAGATAAAGTGGATATGTGATATATTTAAAAATGTGTTAATTATTTATGTTTATTAACTTTCACAATATGAGAGGATTGTCTACAAAGATGGACATTGATGTACGAGCAGTAAAACTAACTAAAAGATTCCTAAAAAACTAAACCACAATAACAAATTAGAATTTTTGTCACACTGTATGTCGTCTATAAGCGACTTTCATAAACACAGGACAACAAGCAAATGTCGTCTATAGAAGACGTTCGTACCAAAATAGTCCGGTCATTTCAGCTTAAATTAGGTAAGAATTTCGGAATTCGAGATACCCAGCCGTAATTCTGTAAATACCCTAATATAGCACCCTAAAAGTTGTCTCAAAACGTACGCATGGTACTTACACCCTACCATATGTAGGTTTTGAAACAATTTGTAGGGTGCTATTTTAGTGTATTTACAGACTTACGGCTGGGTATCTCAAATTCCGAGAATCTTACCTAATTTAAGCTTAAATGACTGGACTATTTTGATACTAGCGTCTTCTACAGACGGCATCCACTTCACGTCCATAGAAGACGTCAGTTTGGTATCTCGAATTCCGAGGTGAACTTACTATAATGAATAGACTAAACGATTAATCGTGATTTCAGAACCCGGATACCCCTCACAGAATAAATAATTTAAAAATCAGATGCTTGTTAGTCGTAAACGAATGTACGAAGATTACTGAACGCAGTACTATTATTACTAATATTTTCACGTCGAGACGTCAGTAAAAAAGCAAGTATTTGCTATGGAGCACTTTTGAATATACTATATAATTTGAACTCGAGGGATATATCCACGTACCTGTCTTAACGAGTTTGAAAGTATGTCCATTATGCGCTTTCAGAGCGTCGTTGAGCTGCGGATGGACAAGGTCCCTCAGCGCTCCACCGTCCGCCGAGGCCATGCTCGTCGGACTCGCACCCGGAGAACCCGGGGTGACGCTGACGCTGCGGCTCCGGCGACCGCGCAGCCGACTCAAGTTGAAGCCGCGCCCGGACGGCTGCGGCTTGGGTGTCGATTCTGAAAGATAATTTATAAAATAAGTAAGAAAATGTTTGAAAAAATTCAGTAATGAGCAGAGGTCAAGATACATAGAAAGAGGATAATCAAAAAAAGAGTGCGCGTAAGGTTCACACGCGATTGAAGTAAAACTTATTTGCTACTGTACAAGATGGCATTTAAGTAAAAATAAATACACCATATAACAATTTTGAATAATGTTTATTAGTAATATGGTAACACTCGTGATGCACACATTTTTTAGTATCCACCAATATACACATTTATATAACGATAATTTATAAATTATATATTTATAATGGCATTAAAAATATGTATAATATTTAAAAACAATAATGTAATTAAAGTCATACTTCAAATATGACATGATCGGTTTGTCATTGTAATTAGCATTTAGAAATGGACCTTCATTAGAGAAATTTTAATAACTTCAAAGATTTATAGACACTACCAATAATATAGAAATAATTTCTAATCAATAAACTTAGTACACGACAAAAATGTTTAATTTGTTTTATTATTTTCAAGGAACAGGGTAAAATATTCTTCTGATTCAAGCATCTTTCATTAAATCAAGATTTGTATTACGATGCAACTTGCTAAAATGTTTATTTATCTATGCCGATTTCCTTGATATCGGTACGCATACAACGTTGATGCCGGTGCGCATACAATGACAGTTGTATGCACATACAATCTCTATTCACATAAAATGATTTTATCAAGAGCGAATGACGAATCTTCGGCAATCGACTTTTATTTTATCTTATCTGCCGTAACGCATTTCCGTTGCATTTGTACGGATTTACACCTTAGTCGCGCCTAAAGAAGTTTTACTTCAATATTACAGTTATGTTAAAAACATGCAGCTTAAATTACTTTCTGTAAACTCACAATTACAAATGTACAATGAACAAAAACAATTATGTGTAAGAAATACGTCAAACAAAATAATGGATCTTCATAATGGTTTCTAATATAAAAATATTTAACTTTTTATCATACATAATCGTAAAAGTGATTGGTAATGTTTTTTATGAGAGTATGAAGAAGCTAGAGGCTTAATGTAACAGGGGTAAGTAGTAACAGGCATTTTTCAATGTGATGTACGCAATGTACAATAAACAAACAATTATGTATGACAAATACGTCAGAAAAAATATTTATCTTCAAAACGTTTTATACATAAAATTATGTAACTGTATAAAAAAAATAATCGTCAAAGTGATTAAAAATTCTTGAGAGTATAGGAGAACTAGCTAAAGGCTTATTGTAATAATCAATCAAATAGTAACAGGCATTTTTGAATAAGATATTAAAATGGCATTCAAATATTGTTTGTCTCGATTAGACATATAAACCATCTTGCAATATATTGTAATTGCTAGTATCCTGGAGAAGGAAGCAGTAAACAGAATTGTGCAGGTGCGTCATTTTTGACATGTAAAATCAAATTACAAAATTTTTTGTTTAAATGCTATAAATCTTATTTCATTAATTTTTTTTAATGTATTACTATTTTTGTGATTGCTAAATTATTTGAACAGTTGTCTTGATAAATGTAAAAAAAATATAGCTGAGGTTAGTTGAAACAAAATATTGGGGCTAGTTGTAACATACAAAAAATATATTCAGATTCAAGTGAAGTAGATTAAATGGAATGTATAGTTTGTAAGATGTGGGCATATGTAAACCGTATTACAGGACACACTATATCCTGTATTTGTATTTTGATAATAATTGTACTTTACGTTGATTTATGTTAAAAATCTATATTACAGGAGGTATTATATATTTTATTTGTACTAATTATAGTTCACGTTGATTTATAAAAAAAAATACTTAGGAGCAAGTCAATTTTGTTAAAAATAAGTAATGAATGGATTACACAGGTCTATAAAAATAGATACCGGGACAAGTAATAAAACACCAAAACAGCAATAATACCTATCATAACACAGATCCACAAAAAAATAAAAGTTGCCTGTATAGGGTGTGCAGCATGATTTTCAATGTAGTTCTTACCGCTAAACACAAATCTAAGGTCAAAACTCGGGGTCAAACACCAAAAAATTGAAAAAAAAATAATAAAAGTTGGAAAACATATGCCGCAAACCCAATATAGACAACTTTCATTGTTTTGTGGACCTGTGTTATTAGTGGAATTTTTGTGTTCGTGTCGTTACTACTTGCCCCGATAGATGTTACAACTAGCCTCAAATACAAAGTTGTAACTTTTTCTAAAAAACGATTATTTGTGAAAAAATGAACGAAAGTTATAGATTTTTTTTATTTGATTTGGTATAGCAATAGCTAAAGTATCTATCTAGCTTAATTTCGTAGAAATATAATCAGTGGATCTCGAAATATATTGATTTAGAATAAAATGTAACAACAAGCCCTAGTTCCTAAATATTATTTTATTTTAATACGTTGTATGGATTATAATATAATTACAAAAATAAATGTTAAACAGTACGCTTGAACTTCAGCAAGAATAAGAAATAGTACGCCCTATATTATTTCGAATAAATTAATAAGTATTACTTTTTACGCCAAAAAAAATTGATTGCCTTGTTTACTAAAATACTATCAGTAAGCAAAAAATTATATCAAACGACTACTCTCTTAGCCAGTTAAGTTGGACGAATATATTTTTCATGGAGTAATGGCAGAATTTTGTGTAATGTCGAGTACACTCGTCATGTGTAAGATAAATCTTTAGATCCGTTGGCTATTTAGATAGCAACTCAAAAAATTTATTCTAAATGATTTAAAGTTTTGCCGAAATGAAATACATGAATAGTTGTAAAAGGCAGTTTACCCTAAAACAACAATCTACGTCCATTCTGACAACACAAAACTATGCATACAAAAGCGCCACAGTAAACCGGTTAAAATACAGTTTAATCGATATAAAAAATGTAATGTTTGATATATTTATTACAGTCTAACTACAAAATGTACAAATGTTTACTTTCGATTTGTAAATAAAACCTTGCAATCGCAATAAATTTTGTTATTGAACACTCACAATTAGTCAAATAACAAACAAGATATAAATGTCAAACGATAAAGTCATGCAAGAGCAAAAATTAAATACTGGTAAAATATGAAACTAAAATTGATTGCAATAGTTTCATTTCAGCGACAGTTCAAATAAAATGTGGTATAGTGTGTCAATGTAATAATGTGATACAAGGAGTTGGCTTCATGCTATTACAGACTTCAAAGTTACATCAAATATATAACTTAACAACATTAATTAGCTGAAGTAACACGCGCAAATGTTATAAGGTAATAATTTATTTGATTAGCATAAGTTTCAGAGTATGATTGACAGCGAACTATACGGCTTTAGCTTTTAGATAAATTAAAGTTTTTATTGTATCAATTAATTAAATTAATGGAAAGTAAAATCGAAAGTAATCGAGTTAATGAAATAATTAAGCATTAATATTTAAATATGTTGAATAAGGTAAATATCACATAAAAAATCAAATAAATATTATTATCGTATAGGTGTGATAGTATTGACCTTAACAATCCTGAAAAAAATTAGAATAAAATTATCTCACCTTGTTTGGAAATTATGAGCTTTTAAGTGCAACTTAAGACTTTGATGAGTGTATGACCAATTTTGGTTATTGTGGCGAATTTTTATTAATTTTGTAATTTGAACGTTAGAACCGCAACCATGGATAACCTTTCAGAATCACAATAAAAAATAATATTTATAATTGTCCCAAGTTTTCAAGAATTAAAACTTTTTGTAGAACTGTGAATTTAAAAAAACTTTTAACCGTTTCCACTCGGATGCCACCGTTCTGGCGGCAAAATTCATATAAATTTCGGAATTAGCGACTGAAAAAGGTTAAAATCCGTCAACTTTGAAAAATTTATTTAAAAAAATGTACTAAATTGTTAGTAAGTTTAATCAAAAGTTGACGGATTTAATCAGGACTGTAAAATGGTAAAATACTGATAATTTTAATATTGAATATTTTCGAAAAAAATATCAGAAATCCATCTATCACCTCGTTTCAGCTCGACGTTAAGTTCTGAAATACCCTGCATGTCAAAAGTATTTTCTATAGTAAACTATATAATTTAATACCAAAGATTATAAATAAATTGATAAAAATAAGCGATTCAAGAAAACTGATTTATAAAATCAATTAATTTTAATTCTTATGCTTCTGCCATAAAACTTTGTTTTAATTCTGATAAATTAGAATTTACATGTAGTTACTGTACAAATAATGCTGATTTTTTTTTATTTTAAATTATAAAGCACACGTGTATGTTTTACCAAAGATTAAAACGGATTAGTTGAATTTGAGAAAGCAAATTATTTGGCAATATATTATTAACTTTCTGAAGTGTATAGTAATCGTCCAAAAATCGAAAATTAAAATGTCTACATATCTTTAAGTTTCGGAGGTTTCTGAACATTTTGGCACATCTGAGAAAAAATGGATGTGTGTGCGTGTGGAGACAATTTTTCGTCGACGATTTCGGGCGTACGGATCAACCGATTTAAATGATTCAAAAAACATTCGATTCATATTGACGGGGAGATGTGCTGGTTAGTTTTAGACAAAGGCAGGTTCAGCCATTTCGGAGATACGGAGCAAAAAGTATTGGAATCTCAGTTTTTAAGAAAACTGCAGCATCCGATTCGAACGATACAAAAAACATTTTGCTTGTATTGTGACTTGTATTAAGAAACAATTAGTTTTTTCGTAAAGGAATTTTTTTTCAAATATCGGATTTTCATTATAATTTTAGCTAAAATTCTAAATCTCACTTATATACTCAAAATAAATAATTGTAACTTTGCAATTCAGTATATATAAATTTTCAGAAAAATGAAATAAGGTTCTTTAATTCTAACTTCACGTTTTTTTTACTTTTCATGTAAACATATATAAGTTGTCATTAAATGTATAAGTTCTCATATTATGTCTAAATAAAATACAAATAATGAAAGTTATAGT